ATGGTGGTTGTGTCCGGGGGGGAGTGAGTTGGGGGGAGTTGGAGACGCTAGATGTCCCAGATGTCCCACACGTTCAAATACTGGTTGGCTGGCGCAGCTGTCTGGTTGGTGTTACCGCCAGCTCCTGGCAGCTCCCACTGAGGCCGGCGTTCTTCCGGCGCGCGGAATCGATGATCCGGAATCTGCAGGCCACTCAACTACCTACTGAATGGAGGATGCAGGCGACTCGGTAGCCCGGGGCTGATGTCGTCAAAAAAAAAAAATTCGGTTCGGCCTCTGATTGACGGCACGGCTTAGAGCTGCAGACCAGACGTCTATCGACTTTGACCACTCCCTTACTTGGCAAACCCCAATCCAATCCACCCATCTGCAGAACAATCTTGAGCAACGGCTTTTCTACCCATCGTCTATTCGACCACCTATTGTCGGTCCTGAGACTCGCCACTTCTTTTTCTACTCCATCACAAGCTTTGGCTCCGTTTAGCTTCAACGGCTTTACATCCCCTTTGGCAAAAATGGTTCAAACGTCAACCGTAGTGACGGCCACCGTCGCAACCGCCGCCACAGCTATCGTCGGTACGTAGCACTGTTTATATTATTACTCTGCATAACATGATATGTCTCCAAAACAGAACTGCAGGACAGAAGTACTGGATTGCTGACAAGTGGACTTTTTCTGCTCTATAGCTTATGCCATTTACTTCGACTACCGCCGACGCAGCCAGGCCGAGTTCCGCCGTGACCTGAGAAGAAACGAGCGCCGGCAAGTTCGCGCCGAGAAGGAGGAGGCTGAAGCTTCGACGCGCGCTCAGCGAGATGCCATCAAGGCCCGGGTTGACGAAGCCAAGGAGGAGGGGTTCCCGACTGGTGTCGAGGAGCGCGAGGCCTACTTCAACGAGCAGGTCATGTCCGGGGAGATGCTGAGCTCGGATCGTAAGCTTTTACCCGCCCATCGACAACTTTCCGCGTGCCATTAGTCCTGGATGCCTTCGTTTTCATTGCTTTTCCAAGCTGACATTCATGTAGCATCCAAGGCCGTTGAGTCCGCTCTTGCCTTTTACAAGGGCCTTAAGGTCTACCCTGCCCCTGGTGACCTGATCAAGATCTATGACAGCACCGTCCCCAAGGTACGCATATCCGGTTTCCATTCTCTCGACCAACAAAGGCCGTGGAAATGCCTAACCCCAATTCTGCAGCCTATATTAGACATCCTTGCCGAGATGATCGCATACGACTCCAGCCTCGACATCCGCTCCCGTCCCACCGGCGGCATCAACCTCGGCGATATCCCTAACGTCGGCCTTGACTAATCAGAACTGTCCTTTCACCATGTTTCCCTCGGGACAGGACACCTAAGGCGTGGAGAATTCAGTGGTCAATACTCTGGCCTAATACAATATCGCATACAATCCCTTATTATTCCTTTCACCCCTCGCTGTCACCAACGCCAGGGGTGTTAGGACATTACAAAAAAAAAAAAAAAAACAGAACAAGATTAAAAATGGACTGAGAAATGGAGGTTTGCGAACTCCTTGTTGTACGATATATAAATTTCGCTCTTCTATCTGCGCATAGAGCCTTGTGTAAACAGATGTTGACGGTATAATAATGCCGCTACGGGGGTGGAAGGCGTCTGGGGGAAGGCCGAGGTAGCGTTTTCCATGAAAATATCATGATCCATAATTCATGCTTCCCAGTGATGTACATCAAGAGCATCAATTTCCTAAGCCTGGTGAACAGTCACCACAGCGAGCCCCTGTACTTTGAACTGAATCTTCAATCAAGCATGCCATTTACCAGCTCTCTGGCGGCGGCGCCTCTCGCACCACAACATTCTCAATCTTTCTCCCTTTCCTATCCACCCGATCGTCTCTCGGATCAAAGCCTCCATTCCCCCACAACGCCCACTCAGGAGTCGGCTCACCCATGTAATCCTCTGGCGTCCAATCGCCATCCGCTCCCCTCTCCTCGAGCAGCTCAAAGAAGCGCTTATAATCAATATGCGTGTGCCACTTGCCATTGACCAAGAACCGCTCGCTGGCAAGCAAAATACAGCAGCTGTGCGCATGTTCAGCGGCAATGCCATACTTTAAGCCCTTGGCCTTGAGTCTCTCCTCGAGGGCCTTGACGAATTCGCAAACTTCCCAGTAAAACGGGACATTGGACATGCTCAACCCGGCGTTGGAAGAGGTCGATGTCCCGCAGTACGTGACGCCCTTGACTTCGACGAAGCAGGGAAGTCCGCGCTCCACGAGCTGTGCGTACCCTTCTGCCTCGTCTTCTACGTTGAAGCCCTTGACGAGGGTGAGGCGGAAGACGGTGCGGTGACGGAATCGCTTTTCTCGGAGAATGTCCAGGCAGCGTTGGAAACGTTCCCAGAAGTCGCGGTGGAGGGGTCTGTCGATTTTGCGGAGGGAATCTTTGTTGGAGGCGTCGATGGAGACGTAGAGCTGGGTGACGGCCTTGAGGGCCGCTAGTTGGTCGGGGTGTTGGGCGTTGCAGACTAGGAATGAGGAGATGTGTTCTGCGTGGAGCATGGCGAGGAATTCGTTGATGTGAGGGTAGAAGATGGGCTCTCCCACTAGTGAGAGTGCACAGTGGCGGATCTTGAGGGCTTCGGCATATCGCTCTGCTCGTACGCCCGGCACGCCGCGCATCATCTTGATTTTCTTGTAGTGGTTCTCTTTAACGCCTTCGAAGATCATCTCGGGGGGGTCAACTACCCAGCGCCACGTGGTGCCGACGGGATTGGTGCCGTGTCGCCAGCAAAAGACACACTTGTTGGAGCAGGATAGAGAAGGCGTCGTCTCCATGCACTGGTGTGAATTGATGCCGTATAGCGAGTACTTATAACAGCTTCCTCGGCCGCGCAAGGCCGACTTTGTCCAGCGACAGATTTTGACACCTGAGTGAGAGCCGACGATGGAGTAGCCTTGTTTGGTGAGGGCAGCATATGTAGGTGAATTCTTGGCGACCATTTCCTTGATAACGGGAGCTGTTGGCGTGCGTTTCTTTGCTGACGATGAACCGTATGAGGTGAAGTCAACTGCGAGTGGCGCTTTCTTGCCATTGGCATTAGCGTTGCCATCAGATGTTCGGAGCATGCGACCCAAGTCCTCTACATCATCTAGAGGTCGAGAAGATTCCTTGTCGTCACCAGATATATCTTGTTCAATCAATACCTCGCCATCATCGTCCTCAGCCACATCCTCCGCATCACTTTCCATGGCATCACCACTTCCAGAAACACCTTCGCCCAGACTTCCGGCGCTTGCAACATGGGCAATAACTTCCTGCACACCCGATGACCACTCCTCAAACCGCTCAGCATGGTCGCTCTTCATATCACCCATGCCGACTGGGTATGCGCGCTTGCGGCCAGTCAACTTGGACATCCACTTATCCAACTCTTTGGCTTGGAAGCAATAGCCGTCTGCCTCATCAGGCCAGCCTTCCTTGTCTCCAAATCCAAAAACGGAGTACCCCAGCAGGGGTGCCAAAGGTGCTGTGTCGATTCTAAAATCATGGTGCGTCTCTTCGAGGTGTTGCAGGAGGGTGTCGTTGATGGTGTCAATGTTGTAACTGGGAATGAGGAATAGGTAGAATAGATAAGCATCCTCGACCGTCTTGGCAGGGCTGACAAAAAAGTCCTCGAAATCGATCTCTGCCAGATCGTGTAGCTCGGGTTTTAGAAACTGGCGCTCCGTCTCGCGAGAGAGCTGACCAACCGATTTTTCCAACGTGCTTGAGTACTGTTGCGCAATCTTCTCCGTCTTGGTCGTGACTGAGGAGAAGAATACCATCGTCTTGATAGGTCGGCTCTTGTCGTGTTCATTCTTTTCCTCCGTTGCTGGCTTTTTGGCAATGCCACCCTTGATTCGCCTAGGTCCGTTTGACTTGGCGATTGGCTTTTCGGAACTCACAGCGCTTGGCGGCTTGTTCGTGCTCGAGGGCTCAATCCTCTTTTCGAATTGTTTCGGCAGCGCCCTCAGCGGTTCTGCTTCTTCTATTTTGTGGATATAAATTCGAATTGCGACGAGCACGACTAGTGCGCAGATGATGATTGGCGTACGGTGGCCATGCCACAATTCGACGATGTCTTTTGGCTCTGTTAGTTGATCAAACGCAACGTTTACAACTTTGCGTCACATACCGTCGAACCTAGCGCCAGCGAGCCCGCCAAATACACCCTGAAGAGGGTCTGTTTTGTCGCAGACTGCAGACATTTTGCCCGCCAGCAGTTACGGGGGAACTGCGCTATGTTGTAGTTGAAGTCTTTCGACACCCAAGAAATTTGGCGGGGAGAAAGAGGTTCCGCCACTGTGGTTGATGCTTATCGATATGTACGCAGCGATTTGAAAGATTGCTGAGTGGCCGAAAGGGCTGTGGTGCTATAGCAGATGCCCCTCTTGAGGGGCTGGGGCGGAGAGGGAAGTTGGTTAGCCCGTAGCTGGTGTAATCCGAGCGAATATCACAAGAGTTACCTGGGTGACAATACATAACTTGTTTTCCGCCGATACTATCGTCAGAGACATGCGTAGTGCATAAAACAGACTCTTCTGAAGCCAATACACTTGTTAAATGTGGGCATATTTGATGTCGCAGGTAAATACTAGCAAATTGCCCGGTCTCGTACATTAATAGCTCTAGGGTACTTGAGCAAACCTGAACAAATCTATCAAGACAACAGTTTCGCAATGTCTGCCATTCTCGTGTCCTTCGTATGCTTGCCTTTCCTCTCTTTTTCCTGGAAGGCCTTAGTTACAAGGTCCCTTTTCTCCTTCTGGATGTCCAGAACCCGCTCTTCGACTGAACCTTCCACAATGAGACGCCAAACCGTTGTCTTTCTGGTCTGGCCAAGACGATGAACTCTGTCGATAGCTTGATCCTCAATTGCTGGTGCCCACCCTAGGTCTTGTTAATTATGGAACGTTAGCCTCAAGAAAAGTGATACTTACAGCTATCAGACAAAATGACAGTATCTGCAGATACAAGATTCAACCCGACGCTGCAAACCGCCAAGCTGGCTAGCATGACACGAGTTTCGGCGTCGTTATCTAGTGCCTGGACTGCACGATCACGTTTCTCCGTGTTCATACTGCCGTCTATGCGGCTATATTTGATCCCGGCGCCATCCAATTGGTTCTGGACAATGTTCAGAAATGACGTCCATTGGGAAAAGATGACCACCTTTGACCCATGCTTATTTAATGTTGCCTGGAGAATCTGCATCATTGCCTCTGTCTTAGAGCTTTGAGTGGTTATATCAAAGTTCTTGTCAAAGGAACCCTCTGCCGCTGGTTCAAGTAGACACTCCTCCGAAAGTTTGTTTCTGCACATTGGGCATTTGTGTTGCAAATGAATAGCTTTTGTGATACAAGTTCGACAGAAAACATGCCCGCAATTTGTTATGACTGGACCAGTGGGAACGTCGAAGCAAATGGAGCAGTCTTCCTGACTCTCTAAATAAAGCCGAAGAGCTTCCTGTAGCAATGCAGTATTCTTCCCATTGAACGGTATAGCTTCTTGGCCTTCGAACAACTCCATCAGCTGGTTTATGCGGTCTTTGCATAGGGTCCAGTGGTTGCAACTTGGATGACTTGTTAGTCTGCGTGAAGTCTCTAACGGAAGATGCGAATTCACCTTTGTCGCAATCTCAAAAGCCGTTCGAGGACGCCTTGGAACTGTCCCTTCTGACCGACTGCCTTGGCCTGGTACTCTGCCAGAGCACCACGTGCCTCCGTACTAAACAATGCGTTAAGACCCTGTGAACTTAAGAAGACGTCGTCATGAGTTACTCACAGTAATGCCTCATATTTCCTTTTCTCTTCGGGGTGGAAAGCGATTCTATGAAGGTATTCCTTTTTTTCGGGTATTTTCAGATCTACAAATTTCATGTCCTTCTTGCGCCGTAGGCAGATATCCTGCATCAGAGCCTGCAGCATAATTTCAGCGCTGGCATCGCCGGAGGCTAATCTCCTCGTAATTCTTGTATTGAAAATTTCTGGATGCTCAATGCCGCCGGTAATATGTAAGAACTTTATGAGAGACTGCAAATCTCTCACAGAGTTGATGCTGGGAAACTAGTTAGTGCCACCGAATTGCTGAGTATTTAGCTATATTAACTTACATCGGGGTTCCAGTCAGTACCCATCGAGATTGGGCATTAATGGCACACGCGGCCAACGCGACTTTAGTTCTCGCATTACGGATTGTGTGCCCCTCATCAAGGACCACACGCTTCCACTGTATGCTTTGTGACAGCAAAACTTGAGGGACATTTGAATCCTTTTCGCGGGCCAACTTGCCGTAGCTGGTGATGACAACGTCAAAGTTCATGAGCTCCTTTGCAGTCATTCTTTTGTCTCCATGGTAGACCAACACGCTCGGTAGATACTCCGGCTTGACATGCCTATCGATCTGTTGTTGCCAATTCGTCATGACACCAACAGGTGCAACTATCAAAGTGGTACCGGAACCTCCTGTCAAAATCAAGCTGAGGATCTGAAGAGTCTTACCAAGACCCATATCGTCGGCTAAAATCCCTCCCGAAAAGAGCTGGGGAGCTGTCGTGCTCACAAAGTCCGTAGCGACATTCCAGTAATGTCCTCTATTGTCTTGTTTCCATAATTGTACTTGGTTGCCTAACTCCTTGGTTGGCAAAGCAGGGTTCTCTTTTGAAGTCATCCATGCTAATCCCTAGTCCAGTGTTAGTGAGGTCATAGGGTTGACATAAGAACCATGCCAACTTACTTGTAGTTGATAGGGCAATAGGGTTGCCTTAAGAGCGGCTGGTTGATCACAGCTGGGCATGTTGCACAAGTACTCTTCATTTGTAGCAAACGTCTTCAGAGCATCTGTCCCATCCCGGAACTCTACTGATTGGCTCTTTTTCAAGATATCCTCCAGAGATATCTCTGGCTCTTCGGGGCCTGCGGAACCCATCCCATACGTGGTTCTTCCCGCCTTCAAGCCCATTATAGCCCTTTGAGCTTCTGACTCCTTTCTCGTCTTGTTGAGCTGAGAAGCCTTCACAAGCTTATCACCTTTGAGTCCTTTTTCGATTCTGGTTCTTTCCAACGGATTACTGGGCCCATAAAAGGAGAGCGTAACGGGGCAGTCGTATTGCCCTTTGGGTCCTGTGAGCTGCGCTTCAAGAAGAATATCTCCGCAGTCCTGTCCCTAAGTGTCAATAACATGGCCCCGAGCAACTGAAAGAGGTGGCATACAAGATACGGGGCGATTTTTTCCACAACTTTGCGTGGCAGATGTCCGATCTGTTGGTACATGACATTGTCAATGCGTATAGCATTGCGGTCATACTAAGGTTGAACGTTAGAGGACCTGGAAAAACTTGCTACATATGGCTTAACTTCCTGGAACTAACCTGATTTTCAGGTTCTCTGCGACAGAGAACAGCTTCACCTGTTGATGCATGACCCCTGTAGTATTGAATTCCAACAATTTTGGTTTCTAATGCCCAGTGTAAGGGTTTGATTGTTGAACGAAATTAGAGCGTTCTTACCAAACGTGCCGTACAGCTCTCTGGCTGGCCCTTCGTCGTCCTGAGTCAAATTTAAAACTTCACGCTCGTAATCAGCCATCTGAGACGTCGTAAGAGGCTGAGTGGAAGAAAGAGAGGACCGGCCATTCTGCGATCCAGGACCTGGTAAATTGCCTGCTCCATTTGACAAAGTATTGTAAACAAATGTTCCACCCACGCCAGTGGAAGACGGTACGGGAGCAGCCGATTGACGTTTGGCCTGTCGACCTGAATCATCGCCAGTGAGGTCTACTACATTCAAGCCTCGTTTTCTGGGACCTGGCATCGTGGCTGTGCTTGAATATTGGGTTAGGCTCGAATGTTATTGCGACTAGAAGTTTGGAAGTTGGTTGGCAAATCAGATACTTACGACGATATCGTTGGCAGCGTTCATAGAGTGAAAACAGCAAGATCAAGTTGTAACAAGTACAAAAACTGAAAATTTCCGGAAACACTGCTTGACACCTGTCAATGCACTCGTAATTCACAATGGAACAGCTGCTAATAGCACCACTCAATTGACACTCCTGATTTTGCCTAGCGCGATCCCTGGACTCACAAACGCGACTGAAGCTGACACGAGATCACGTGATGAGAAAACTAGCCAGCAGACAAACCCGCGTAGGCTGTCGGTCGATCCACAAGAACCTATTCAGGACTAGCGGCAATCACGCAATCGATGAGCCAGCCCGAAGGGAAGGGTATGAAGAGCAACGACATCTCATCAACCGCTTCTTTCTCTCCCAACTTCACTCCGCACTCATTTTGGGACTATGGCAGCATTCTAAGAACTGGAAGCTTTCATTGCATACCCTAATGTCATGCTATCACTACACAAAGACGTCGCTAACTGGAACTCACACCAAAATGCCCTGACCCCACAGCAGCCACCAAGGGAGCGTGGGACCGACTGTCAGAGCTGAATGGCCTCGAATGGGCAAAGAGCAGAGAAGAAGAAGGGAAAAAAAATGAAACGCTGGACACGCTAAAGAACAGACATATGTCGACATGAGAACATATTTGCACAGAGCGACCTTATCCCTTCCCTTGATCCCTTACTTCTTGATCAGACGACCGTACGCTGAGTAGTAATGGCATCCAGGCACATGGCTGCTCTTGCCAGTCTTCTCGTCGAAGATGTGGCATCCCTCTTTGGCTACGTTAGGTGGAGTGTACACTGGCAAAGTTGCTAGTTAGTTTTCTGACAAGCGTCGCATGAGGGATTGAGCGTGAGCGAGGACGTACAGTGCAATGAGACAGCAAAGTCGCTGCCTCTATTGGATACACGGTGCAAACCAAGTTCGTCGGCCATGTAAGTGACACCATTTTCTTTATATGTCTTCTCGGATATGACCTGCATGGGTCCTTGTTCATCACCGTCTTCAGGAAAGGCGTAGCGGGTTTCAGTTAGACTGCCGCGCAGGATCTTCATCAGGCAATGAGCATTGCCGTGATCATGGATCGGACTCCCTTTTCCGGGGGACCATACGAGAACCAACTATACATGCGAGCAATCAGTCATGTGTTCGGGAAGGCACAGTCATCATCAGGCAGCGACGACTTACCAGGTTGCTCTTGCCATTCCCCTCGTCGACGAGATTGCGGGTATATCCCCGACTGGCATCACCATAGGCATACTTGGACCATTCCATGGGATTACTATCATAGTTGATCATGAGATCAGTCAACGAACCTACGTCCACATCATCCGAGGTCAGTCCTGATGAAGGGCCAAGGACCTTCTTCATCGCCAGGACGAGTTCCTCGAACTTGTCGACCTGTGGGAACGTCGCAGCAGACTTGCTGTTGATGGAGAGGGCTCTGGAGATGACGTCGATGGCCATGATTGATTGCTCTAACGATGAGTGATTGATGACACGTCGAGGGGATGTGGACTCAAAGATGCTTTTGTGCACTATCTGATGATGGGCAACAACGGGAAAAGGACAGCACGTCGACAAAGCATTCGGCGTTTGCTATCAGTGGAGAGGGGGAAAACGCCGACCCCCTACCGTGAGTCTGCCAAGGTCACCTGAGTGTCTGGGTAGTGTCGGCGGATATTATCACCGGCGTCAGACGGTGGGGTATTGTGTCCAAAACATTTTCGTCCGGCCACCCACGAATAGCCAAAAAGAGCAGGAATGGCTTCAATCGACGTGGGAAACCTTGAGGGCTGATGGGTTGCGACGACGACGGTGCGATATGGTTGGTCACCTGCAAAAACGAAAAGTGGGCACCCCCGCCTGAATGGCAGTGTTGAGATGCGCTCAAGTGCATGAGGCACGGATACTGGAGGAAACAGACAGTAGGGGCTGCAAGAGCCAAAACGGGCCACCGAAATGTGCAGCGAGTAAGTATTTTACGCGACGTGAATCGTTAAAAGGGTTTCGTAGGCTATAATTACACATATAGAGTATTCTGCAGCTGTCGGGTGAGTTTTAGACGACATCTGATTTTTCCTTCAAACTCTAAAGTTTTGGTGCCGCCAGTGTGAAATTAAGCTCATGGCATAGGCAGCCCAATGACTCAAGTGGCCGCCAAAAAAAAAAGTGGACAGAACTCGTGTCGAGTAACAGTTTTTCTAGGTACTAGTACTCCGTACTTGCTCCCAGTCAGTTGGTCACAGTGACGACGCTGAGCCACGCCCGAAGAGCGCTGAAAACGGGTCGAATGGGCGGGAATTCGGCACTAAGCGTGCCCTGAAGACGGCACCTGGGCACTTGGGCCAGTGTATCGTGAGGCAGTGGACGACAGCCGGTCTGGAAGGAGCGGTGGGCAAACACCTGGCGGACCGCCATCCACCGACAGCCGTCTTGCCGTACTGTACGGGGTACAACTTGAGAACACGATTCACTGCGGCATCCCTTTGAGTGTGTGCCTGGGCGATCCGAGTGGGACGGCCTTTTATTATTCCCGCTGCCACGGCTAGCATTTCCGGCACTGATTATTATTAGTCACATCTCGGGGGCCGCTTCGGAGCAGAGTGGGCATCCGCCCGACTTTGGAAAGTGGCTCTTGCATGCCGCGGAAATACAGTTTTGCTCATGATGGTCTGGTCTCCCTGGTGTAACAAAGGATCAATTGATCACTGACGCGAGAAGCACTCAGCACTCCGACAGCCCAGCATGGACCAGACAGCCGACAGGAACCCGGCACAGTCACACAGGGCGATGCAGGACGCACGAATCCCCGGTCTCCTTTTTGGGCTTCGTTGGTCTGGCTTTCCGGTACCTACGGCGACCCGAGTAGGGCCAGCTGGCCGCAGGAAACGGCACCTGGAGGAGGGGGCACCCCCAGGCTTGGCGCTACACACAGGCACCAGTGACTCCCTCCGGTCGGCTTGGACGGAGGCGTCAAGTTTTCTGCTGTAGAAACATTGAGGCCATCGGCCGTTTAAAAAGACGGCCCAGTCCACATCACGTTCAGATTCGCTTCTGCCCCGGTTGCCGTCCGTATTTTGAATCCCTGCTGAACAGATTGCTTTGGAGAGAGACAAGGCATTGCTTGTCCTTGGCGCGATACTTGCGATATCTGCGACACCTGCCCAGCCACCATGCCGGATGGGCTCTCGTACTTGTCGTCGGAAAACTCGACCTGTGCAATGAGCACCAATGACGTGGCCGACCACAACACCAGCGACATGGAAGACAGCGTGCCTGCGGGAGCCTCGCCGCTTGAAGAGACGCCGTGTCAGAAGAGAGCGAGGGAGTTGCAGGAACGGGGATGGCGGCGCATCATTCGCAACTTTACGCCTTCGTGAGTCCCGTCGCCGTTATGCAGGCCTCGTTGTTCCTCCGTACAGCAATTGGTACCGGTCATGAAAGAGACGTGGGAAACTAACCATTGTTCCTATCATAGATGGTTTGCAGTCAACATGGGGACTGGCATTGTTTCCATCCTCCTCCACAACCTGCCATACAACGGCCATTGGCTCCAGTTCATAAGTTACATCTTCTTCGGCCTCAACATCCTCCTCTTCGTAGCCTTCTCATGCATGTCCCTGGCGCGATATATCGTCTATCCCGACATATGGCGGGCCATGATTTCGCATCCAGGACAGTCGTTGTTCCTTGGTTGTTTCCCAATGGGTTTTGCCAGTATGTCTCAGTGTCCCCATGATCCAACCATATCACACCACCAACTTGAGGTGATATCCCGGCACCTTTTTTTTTCTCCTTGTTTTTCTTTCTTACGCAACATGCTGACTTTGCCCAAACAGCCATCATCAACATGATGATATTCAGCTGCGCACAATGGGGCGACTGGCTCGTCTACCTCGCCTGGGCTTTCTGGTGGATAGACGTGCTCCTCTCCATGGCCACCGCCATCACCATGCCCTTCATCGTCATGCACCGCCATAAACCGGGCCTGAGCAACACCACTGCCGCCCTGCTGCTCCCCATTGTCCCGACAGTCGTTGCCGCCGCCACGGGGGGCATCGTCGCAGAGGCGCTGCCCAACCACGGACACGCATTCACCACTCTCATTGCCTCGTACATCCTCTGGGGCATGGGCGAGTGTCTGTCCGCCTGCGTCCTGGCCCTCTACTTCCACCGGCTGACCATCCACTCCCTCCCGCCCAAGGAGGTCATCGTGTCCGTCTTTCTGCCCGTCGGGCCCCTCGGCCAAGGCGGCTTTGGCATCCAGCAGCTCGGCAAAGTAGCCGTGAAGCTGCTCCCGGCAACACCAGCCTTCAAAGCAGCCGGCGTGGACGTCGCGCGCGGTGCCGAAATCCTATACGTCCTAGGCGTATTCACAGGCTTGGTCTTGTGGGGGTTCGCGCTTGTGTGGGTGTGCTTCGCGCTCATCAGCCTGGCGACGATTCGTGATTTCCCCTTCAACATGGGCTGGTGGGGGTTTACCTTCCCGTTGGGCGTGTGGGCGACGTGTACGAGCATGCTGGCGATTAACTTGGATAGTGAATTCTTCAAGGTTGCCACGACGGTGAGTTTGCCGCTGCTTCCAAGTGAATGTGCCGCAGTTCTTCAAGTGTTGTTGCATATGCAGTCTGCTGACTCGGGCAATAGATCATTTCCCTGTCCGTGCTTCTTCTCTGGATGATGGTTGCCAGCAGGACGCTTCGTCTAGCCGTCAGAGGCGACTTGTTCCTCGCCCCCTGTCTTAAGGAACTCAAGGAGAAGGAAGAACGGGAAGGAGACGCTGGTGAAAGAGTATGAGGGTTTGTGTCTTTAAAAGGAGTACAGGATTTGGGATCTCGGGTTATTCATACGACACCTCGGCTGTACATATGTGAGGTTCGATTTGCATCAGAGCGTCCGCATAGCGATATGTTTTCTTTTTTTTCTTTTTTAACGAGATGAGACATCTGGAGTTTTGGCAGAGCATGGTTGAATAAAGTCAAGGCGAATTATCAAAAGCACCATGGGGAATAATCTGGGGAGATAATAATCTATCTACAAGCGGGCAATCTATTTTTACAAGCCACGATGGGACCCCCAAATGAAAATAGAATTCGAGCTGATAAGACAAACTACAGTGGTTGGCCGGTGTTGCGCGACAAGATAGCAACTCCAATGACGAGGGATTTCGCAACTCCGCGGTAACAAGTCAAATTGAACACTGTATGCATTTTCTTGTTACTGTACCTAATCTGCCTTAAAAGTTCCACCTGAAGCGCTATGCCATGCATGTGTGATTGTGTAAATCCATGAAGAAAGAAAAGACGTACAGCCATGTCCTCATTTGAGCCATCTAGCATACGCCCATCGGATTCGCTCCAGTGCCTTGGTCTGCACTTGTATGCCCTTGATATTGGCCAGATCGTCAAGATCTTCCAAAAACTCCTTTTCGATATCCCGAGGCATCAAGTTGCTTGCGTAACTGCGGAGTATGTGTACCTCACATAGCAGCAAGCCGTGGTCCTTGTATGATAAAACATTGTTCTCTGTCGGCCTGGCTTCCGATAGTATTCTGTCGATGTTCCGCAAGATTCGCACAGCCCTGCCTGACTTCTTATCTCGTCGCAAGCCGCTTCTTCCTCCAAATATGCCCCGTAGATACTGAAGCACACCAATTGACACCAAAACTCCTGGCGTCAAGCCCACAAAGCCAAACACTAGCTCTTGGCTCTTCAGAAGAGAGTCAATGCCGGTCATAGCCACTTCCAAATCGACCTTAGTCTTTTGCACCTGAATTAGCAGCGACCGGACCAGGTCGCCACGAACTGCACCGACAAAAGGGCTGCGAAGGTCTTGTTCGTACGCTCTCAGCACAGGAGTCACATCCCCTTCGGCAACCTTGTTTCGAATTTCGGCAAGTTGAATCTCCGTGATGGAGGAATTTCCTTCAAAAGCAAAGTGCGGTTTATCCTTCGCAAAGTCGACCACCATTCGTTCCAAACTTTCGCGGTCGGCTTTCAGACTATCTCGGCTCATGATGGCAATGTCACTTGTCGAGTCATGGCGGATAGTCTTGATGACCTTTGTCGTTGGCTGCACAACCCAGTTGAACCAAAAGTCCCGGATTGTACCGCCAAGGTTCGTAATCCAGTTGATGATTTCGTCTTGACGGTTGATCAGAATGCGCAAAACAGTAGTAGATGACAAGACCCCCACCACTGTTGGAAGCCAATATCTGATGAGTTGTGACGGTCGGCCATTCTCCCTAGCAAGACTCTGCATGTTGTTGAAATGATCCGGAAGGGTCTTGTCTATTATGCGCAAGAGTCGACGAGACAACACAGCCGGGCGGTCCAGCGTGACACTCTCTTCCAAGTGTACGGACAGCTCGGAGTCTTCTTCTACACCGGCGAAGACTTTATCTTCGAAGTCATGAATGTTCACGTCCAGGGTACAGACTTCCTTCAACACCATATCCATCAATGCAACGCTGCGCTCAACCACGCCTTTGAGATCATGACTGTCATGCATGTCTGCCTTGTCATCGTCATGACCAAACTGAAGCCCCTCGTCCATCAACACCCCAAGTCCGCTAGCTGTGATTTCTCGCAGCTTACGGAGATGAGCTTGCTTTCGACGAGCCTCCGACCGACAGAACGCCACGGGTGAGAGGACCTTCCGTTGGATGTTGGCAAAGGAGCGCTCCCGAATAGCGTCGCGCACAATTCCATAAAACTGACGCCATTGCTGCGATACGCCGGCAGCAGTAGAGTCGACAAATTCAGCGGGCGAGTCTCTGACGGACAGAGACTGCAAGCGCATCTTGCTTGCGCCGTATACTTCTAGGGTCCATGCCCAAAACCGAACTGGCGACGTCTGGACAGTATAAAGACTGCTGTAGGTGTACGAGTTCAGCACACCCGACCAATACCAAATATCGTCGTTGAGTGGAATAATTTGATCCAGCAGGGAGTTGAGAATGGCGCCGTATATGTGGACGGTGGCTTTGGTTACCAGCAGCCATTCAATCTCGTCCTCGTAAGCAGTCTTGGCCACTGGTCGTTCTGTTTGTTCAAGCTGCTTGATGTCATGCGGTTGCAAAGATGGCAGCCCGGACTGCGCGAGGAGTGCCTTGACACGATACAGTGGAAGCACAGAATCGGAAGCAGAAGTGGCACTTAGGGACTGGACAATCCGAAGCAACTCATCCAACCTTGGAGAAGCGAACGCATCAGCAGTGACGAATGCACGCTCTTCTACATCAGACCGACCATCATCCGATGCGGCTTCTGATATTACTGGCAACCGATCCAGATAGGCATCCAGACGGCGTACTTGGCTAGGAACCAACAAAGGTCAGCCAACACGGGACCAAGGAGAACAGACAGCAAAGGGGGTACTTGTACTTACTCAGACACCAGTGACATGGTACAGGACACCGACGATGAAGAGAAGATGAGGCCCGTCAGCCGGAAACGAATGCCCTGGTGTGCGGCTAGGCTTGCAACGAGGCCGGGGGGCTAGTGCCAGACTGACAGAGCCTCAATCGGCATGGATCGAACCGACCAAGCGGGAAATCTGATGATTCTGAAAGATGGTGTGGGGGAGCGAATCAGGAACAAAGTAGAGGTCAGTCAGCCACGGTGATTACAGTTCGCAGGCTCATCACACCATGCGTGGAGTGGCCGGGACGACGAGCAGCCGACGAGGAACGATTATTGCTTTGTTTATTACTGAAAATGGCTGGGGCGGAAGAAACACAAAGCTGACTTGGAAGTGCATGACCAAGAAAGGTCCCGTCAGATTGGTTGGCAGTCGCGTGGGGCTCCAGCCCGACGACCCTCGTGTTCGGATTCGAAGCAGCGAGGGGGAATGGGGCCAAGGAGCAAGAACGTTTGAGGCATTCAGCAGAAACAAACAAAGACGGCGTTGTCAGAGAGAGAGACGTCTTCCTCAAACAATTCGGACCACAGTTGGATTGAGTAAGTTGATGACTTGATGCTCTGGTGAAGTCAGCATCAACAATCGTATGAATGAGATCATCGTCCATCCCAAATGGAGAACAACAGGCAAGCAGGCAAATTGGGTGGCAACGGTGCGTATTCGTATTTTGCATCAAGTCTTATCGATACCGCCAGGTGACAGCTGGTTGGGTCCCGGAAAACGGGAAGCACTTGCTGGAGGTGGCACCATTCTCGAGCCACCCAACCAGCTGTGTTGAGAAAGTCTGCGCGTTCTCGTGCAGTCGGTTCCTCACAAGCCGACAGAATGGCCATGCTCCATTGGGGGGATCATGTGCGATCTAGCACGGGTGGTACCTCCCAAGTACCAGGTTGTGCATCTGTCGCTCTAGCCACGACCAAAGGTACCTAGCCGGGTCCTCAAAGAACTTCTGTGGGTGGCGATTCCACTGATCGTCCCCTGAGAATCTACGCTAATCAGGCCAGAAATGAACGGGGAGCAAAAATACTTACATTACACATGAACCGCGATAAAATCTCCCTCGTCCCCCACTGTCGCAGTTCTTCAGTTCAATCGACCATCTCTCTTCCTTGTGTGTCACTGTCTGTTTTTCTTCTCATACATCTCTTGCGCATTGTTGGTTTCGCGCATACCCCTCATTCAGTATCCTGCTCTTTTTTTAATATCCTGCTTTTCGCGAGACACGCTCTGTCTCGTCTATCGTCCCTATGGACCTGGTGTGAGTTCTGGCCGTCCCTCAACATGACCCCTTTTTTTGTCGAAAATGGCAGACCACGGCGATGCTAACACGGGTTTAATTTCGCAGCAACACCACCGTTGGCGCCCTGAATCAGACTCAGGATTACTTCAGTGTCTTCGAGGAGGTTTCCAAGTACAATGTTAACCTCAACTATTTCGAGCGTCTCTGGGCAGTACGTTTTCTCGTCACCGCGTCTCACTGCCTTTCCCCGGCATTTTGACATCTTTATGACCCATTGTCCGGCGAATACGATTGCTAACCAACTGATAGGCGTGGTACTTATACATGCAGAACGATACCCTCGCGACCGGCATCATGAGCTTCGTCATGCACGAGCTTGTCTACTTCGGCCGCTGTCTACCCTTTATGCTCATGGACAAAATTCCCTACTTCCACAAGTACAAGATCCAAAGCCAGAAGATTCCGACCCTGAAGGAACAGTGGGATTGTGCCGCCATTGTCCTCATCAGCCACTTCACCGCCGAGCTTCCTCAGATTTGGGTGTTCCATCCCATTGCTACCTACTTTGGCATGGATTACGGCGTGCCATTCCCGTCTTTCCTGAAGATGGCCATCCAGATTTCTATCCTTTTCGTCATGGAGGATGCCTGGCACTACTGGTTCCACCGAGCTCTTCACTACGGACCTCTCTACAAGGCTATTCACAAGATGCACCACACCTATTCTGCTCCATTCGGCCTGGCTGCTGAGTACGCTTCGCCTATTGAGACTATGCTCCTCGGCATGGGGGTCGTTGGTTCTCCTATTATTTTGCTCTCCGTCACCGGTGACCTTCACCTCGTCACCATGTATGTCTGGATCGTCCTTCGTCTCTTTCAAGCCATCGATGCCCACAGCGGCTATGACTTCCCCTGGAGCTTGCGCCACATCCTGCCCTTCTGGGCCGGTGCCGATCACCACGACATGCACCACGAGAAGTTCATTGGAAACTACGCCTCCAGCTTCCGCTGGTGGGACTTTTTTCTGGACACCGAGGCCGGTCCCGAGGCCAACAAGAGGCGCCGTGAGCGAAAGCTCAAGGCTATCAAGGACGCCAAGAAGGAGAATTAACTGTACAATTTGCCAAATGTCGGTAGAATTTGCAGTTTTTCTTTCTCCTACCAAATTCTCAACGATGATAATATACGTTCAACGAGCTGGTAAGGACGGCATCTCTTGGGAGAGATGGCGCATAGCAGGAGAAGAGAGACCTCGAAAAGAGACGTCGAAATAAAACTATAGATTAACGGTCATGCATATCATGCGGCCCACGCCAGTCTAAAGGCGTTCGCCATGGCGTTTTTGGGAAGTTGCGGACTGAGTATGGCATTACATGATTTATTGTATATATAAGATTTTGTTGTGGCATGCCCGCGGGAGCCCTTTGATGAAACTAGTTAATAATTCTTACTCAGCCGTTCATTTGATTGGTTTGGCGGCCGCTTGAACAACATTGGAGCAAGTGTGTTTACAACATTGCGTAGATGCAACACGAATTCGGACGGCATAATCTACGGTGCCATTACTGTTCGTACAAGGGATTATACGGCCTCCAACTGTATCAAGTATCATGCATCCAACTGATTCCCTTCGCTACGTTTACACGACCATCACTTCTCTTTCCTCGGCATGCAGCAATCCCCCGAAGCAGAGGAAGCCTTGTCCGCAAGCCCCTTCACCTCACAACTCGCAGGCTCCGGGACCAGTTCCCCAAAGTCCTTGGCAAGGGCATCACATATCCCAGCCAATCTGACATCCTTCTCCGACAACCCCAGGGGATTATGCGTCGTCCACCGAATAAACGTAGTATTATAGACCTGGGCCCCGTCCCATCAGACCGGAATCTCTCACGGAAGCAACATCAGGAAAACGCGTACATTTGACCATTCGGGATGGTGGTTCTTAAGTTTACACTGCAACGACACGGCAGTCATGAAATCCTACATCAAAATTGTTTTCAGCCATTGGTCCGGGTTTTTAGCACTCGCGGCTACAGCACGGCATACCCATGTCTTGGCAAACGTCTTGAACTTGAAGCTTCGTTCTAGGGCCTTTCCCTCGGAAGATAGCGTCCATTGGCCCCCGGATGAAGTTAGGAGCGGCGCGAGTGCTGATGCGGCGGAGGTCTCGTCGGTGCCGGGCGAGAACCTGGGCTGCATTGTGGAGTATTTTGCGGAGGGGTGGATGCGCGAGAGAACGGTGCGGGAGAGTGTTGTTCCTCGTGGTGGGCGGGACATGATATCGATGGGTTGGTTTGTCTAGGATGTCGGGGTTGATGTGGTGCGGTTCAAGTTTGAAAGTTGAGACGGCTGGTGGAGGGAGGGAGCTACCATTATGAGAGCTTCAGGGTCCCGCACACGTCGTCTATCTCATTTATTGCTCCTGGAGTTGGCGCACAATATATGGCCATGACGAAGATGTACCAAATTGTAACAAAAAGAAGCCTGAATGTCCATCTCATTCGGTAAATTGGTTTAGAGGAAACTGCTGAATGTACACAATGGTCTCGATCTCGGCAGCTGTACCCGCCTCCGCCACCTACTTTAAGGAGCCTACACGGCTCGCCAAACTCACAGGGAAGAAAGAAAGCGACCGTAGCAAAAGATATATATTTACCTATAGCTTTTATTAAAATATCTCTATCAAGCGTGACTTTGCAACTCCAAACATGCTTCTATTTTGGAAAAGAAATTAAAATTTGCAATACATGCTCCAATTAAGCCCCATCCTTCCATCACCGTCGCCCAATTGCACCCTCTCACACACTCCGATTGAAGAGCTACCCTATCAATCCACCACCAACATGCGAGTCCCAGTCAGCAAGCAAAACCTCCCAGAGTCTCATACCGGGAAGAGGCGAGCCCATCCAAAACGGCGCCCTCGCCATGCGCGGCGGCAAAATCGAGTGGGTGGGCTCGTTTCTAAATCGTCTTTACAAGTACCGCGACATCAGCCCGACATATGTCCATGTCCTCATGCCCCGTCTGTGGGACTGCCATGTCCACTTCCTCGCGCTTGACGTTGCGAGCTCAGTATCCGGGCTGGTGGGCTTTCTGCCTGGCTTCAGCGCACTCGCCGGCGCCATTACAGTGGACGATTTGAAAGCCACTTTGAACGCGGGATACACGTCTGTTCGAGAGCTCGGCGGCTACCGGGGGGGTGTTTGGCCCGGCGTACAGAATGGGCCGCTCGTAGGCCCGAATATCTACTCTGCCATTGGCATCATGTCCATCACCGGCGGGCACGGGGACGAACACAATACCCCCTTGACAACCGTGGTTGATGCCATGACGTACGGAAGTATCCCACTTGCAGTCTGCGACGGCGTAGAAGATTGCACAAAGATGGTCAGGAGAATGGTCCGTCGCGGCGCCCGCGTCATTAAGGTGTGTTCCAGCGGAGGAGTACTCAGTCTGAGCGATGACCCTGAAGACCGGCGATTCTCCGATGAAGAACTCAAGGCCATTGTCGAAGAAGCAGGCCGGAGTCGACGCGCTGTTGCTGCCCACGCCATTGGCAAGGCAGGAATTCTGGCCGGCCCCCGAGCTGGCGTGAAAACTATTGAACACGGCATGTACATGGATGAGGAAGTCGCCGACTTTATGGTTAGGCAGGACGCCATCTTCGTCCCTACGCAGCACATTGTCCGGGTCTTGGCCGCCGACTACATGGACCAACTCCCGGAACTTAATAAGCGGAAACTACTCAATTTGATCGACAAGTCCAAGGAGTCATACAAGCTTGCCATCAGGAAGGGTGTCAAGATCGCGCTGGGGACAGATATGGCGAGCAGCGATCGCAAATCGAGGCTTTCGCACGGTCATAACGCAAATGAGCTTGCGTATGCGGTTGAACTGGGGATGACGCCGTTGCAGGCGATTGAGAGCGCGACGGCAAACGGGCCGCTAACGCTGGGTGGTCTTGCGCCGCTTAGTGGGCAGCAGAAGGAAGGATATGATGCTGACGTGATTGCCGTTAAGATAAAATCCCTTGCATGATATTAATGTGCTCACGAACCCGGATAATGTTACCCATGTTTGGAAAGGGGGAAGATTGTTCAAGTCTACTTCAGATTCGTTGTCGCCTGTATGAGGAGTGTTGACGGAACAGATGGAGCATGTTTGGTGATGAGGACATGTTACTGATACTTTGAATAACCTTGAAATTTGTAGATGTAGTTTCCTATTCTCCATTTGCGGTCTGTGGCGGCGTGCTCGGGTGAATCGGGAATCAAGTGATCTTTGCAACGACTAGACGATTACCAGAGGCTTCAGACGCGGATGTAAGCCGTGGGCGGAGTTCGGATATGACTGAGGGAGCTTCGTGCTGGTTGAGCTCTTGACAGTGTTTTATGATGTGCTGCATTGGTAGAACCCCATTGTATCTTGGTCACACTTTCGTTGGTGTCATACAGGGTACCAAAGCATCTGTGAACGGGTGTTGATGAAATAGCAACATACTGCAATACCACCTTTTTCCTTCCAAGCCGAACACTAAACCATGCGCGACAAACCTAGTTTACCAAGACTCTATGGGTTATACATGCTGGTTCCTTTCTGGGCTGTGTACCTAAATAACGCATTGCAACTCATCCAGCAGATGGAGCTGAAAGACTACTGAAGGGGGCGAGAGGTTCTTACCCTGATTTTCGGAGACTCCGGCCTCGGGTAAGTTTGGCAATACCGAATAATCTACCACTCTGGTAATTCGTAACGGGAGGTGGGTGACATAATACCCGAAGGCGTACTCCGTATGAGAACGTTTGTTGCTGCTAACACATTCGGGCACTACCCGAGAGCACGGGAATGACATGGTGTAAACAAGGATGGGCATCAGACTTTTTTCCAAAACGATACATACGGCGGTTATTTGGGTTTGTCTTGATAAGATGCGATCCTCGACTTGATTTGGTTGAAGGACCGTGAAACAGCTTGTATGCGGCTCTGGTCATGTAACAAGCAGTCTAGAATGATTGAGTGAGTAAATCATAGTTGACCCCTCTCACACTTCGAACTCGCTGACCGCAGGCAAGGCACATTCCTCATTTGGTAGAATCGGGAAGTCTCAAGCTGGTGACCACGGTATAAGTTGTTGACCCGCTTTTTCAGCGTTGGCTGCTGTACGGAGTGCTATCGCCCTTTATTTTGTTGCTGACAAACCAACATGTTTGCCGCGCCGCCAGAAAATCTCAGAGACCAGAGGAGCAGCTCCAAGAGATGCAACAGATAGTTCGGTACGGTCATAGAGGTGTGTGGTAATGCTAAGAAAGGGGGAATAAGCGTTAATCTTAATATTAGCGTTGGCATTGATTGGCATCGATAGGAAGTAAGACGCGAAACAAACTGTCGTTTCGTACGGAGTAGTCCGGAGATAACTGGGAACAAGGAGGAGGATGGAGTTGAGACGACGTTAAGCAGCAGCTAGTGCTCTCCGGTCGCGGAGGTCCGCCCTCCATGTCGTCCTTTGGTGGTCCACCATGCTTAGTTGCATCTTCGAGCCCAGCCACACCATTTTCCGCCGTAAGAGCTTCCGCTGATTGCTGAATCCGGTGTCGAGGCGACTGCAAGTCTTGAGCTGTCATGTCCTGTCGAGGATGTGGGTGCAGAGGGGCCGAAGGAGGGGACGTGGATGGCTGGGAGGCAGGGCCGAGCTAGGTTCTTGAGACTCGCAGACTCAGAGACATGCACGCTTCGTTTCCGGTAGCGTCGTCTTATTACATAAGCCGACTGCGATGCTCCGCTTCTTCCTGGCCCAACGTCATGCTCATGGAAGCTGCGACTGCGCCGTGTGGGTTGCGTGTGCATGTGTGTGTGCGCCACCTTCCCACCATGCGGCCCCCAGCCCAAAGGGCAAGAAAAGGCTAGTCCGCACCTGCCCATCCCCGGGGTCCTCTTTTTTCCCACGTTCACGTCAGCAGCTTCGACTCTTGCGTACTCCGTTCCCGTAGTATGTAATCCTCGCCTCGCGCATCTCGAATGCTGAGTCAGAATATCCTATCCAAGCAATGCAGCAACCATCGAGTTCTGGGAATCAAGGTAAGTCAGCAAGATCATCTTCCCCCCTCTGTCTTGCACACGAACAGCTGTGCCTCGTTTTTGGACGTGTGCGAGCACTTGCGCGCCCGCCAACTGCGTGGTTTCATTTCTGCCCGAGACGTTGTCGGAATTGCATCACCTTTTCCGCCGTCGCGCGAGCTGCTGTGTGCTTGTTGGCCGAGGCTCGCCGTCTTAGTCAAGTGACGAGCAGCAGCTTGGGACGTTGCGCGCACTTTTGATATTTGCTTGGTGCTGTAGCCTCTGGGCAACAGCCATACTCAATTGCTGCGTTTTGGCGGGCTTCGTTTTTTACTTGGAACACCAGCGGCTGTCGCCTTGCTTGGCTGGCCAGGCTCCTCCGAGTGCCAGACTTCGTGGGAGGGTTCATGGGAGAGGTAGACCGAAACAGACCGAAACGGACCTTGCTAACACGGATTGACCTTCCTCCGGGCAGAGCAGCACTTGCGCGCACAACTGGAGCTCCTGCAGAGTCACGACGCCGAAACTTCGACAGCTTCAGGCTCGTGCGACTCGAGAAGCGCTCTTTCGCACTCTCCGCCGGCGCGAACGGCGAATGGATACGAGGAGTTGGCTGCTGCCTCACACGAAGCTGCTCGCGCCTTGAGCAAGACTCAAGCCGAGTCGCATATCCACCCAGATCTCCGAGCTACTCCAGGCCACCCATCCAACATGATGCCCATGGGGCCTCCTTCTGGACATAGCCCTGGTGGCAGTCCATCTGGTCCCCCCAATACTTCCATAGCCCCAGCACCGTCGTCATCGGCTCCCGAACCTGGCGCTGCTGGTGACGGAAGAAGGGCAAAGCGTGAGCTTTCTCAGTCGAAGCGTGCGGCGCAAAACAGAGCTGCGCAGGTAGGTTTCGTCTTGCTTCTGATTTGAATCTGGGTCCCACAACGATTTCTTCGGTAGACAGCAGCTAATGTGGCTTATAAAGCGAGCATTCAGGCAGCGCAAGGAGGGCTATATCAAGAAGCTCGAGCAGCAGGTGCGAGATTACGCCGAGATGGAGCAAACGTACAAAGCTGTGCAGGCCGAGAACTACGCCCTGCGTGAGTATGTTATCCATCTTCAGTCGAGGCTCATTGATACTCAAGGAGAGTATCCGCCTCCGCCGCCCAATGTGAATCTTTCTCAGTCCTCCGCCGCCCAGCCTCCTCCTGCGAGTGCACCAGAGCAAGCGCCAAACCCTGGAGTTGGAACGCCGCTTGAAGCTGTTGCCCAGGCCGTAGCTGGTCTTGCAGCCCAGGAGCAATTGGCTGAATCCCAAGGGCAATACCCCAGCCCCGAATATAAGCCTGAGCCACGCGATGAGGATAGTCGCACAGTCGACGAAATCAACAGACAACTTCACCAACAAAGCGAAGAAAACTCCGGTCGATCGGCAGATGTGTAGTATGAACTGCGGGTGTGAACGGGACCCCTTCCTAATGGACTTTTCATGCTGTCAGCTTTTTTTTCCGGGGGGCGTTGTGGGATACCTGTTCTGGATGCTAAACCCCTTTCGTACTTGTTCACCATGGCGTTATTGGAGTTTGTGACGTGATAAGGAGCTGGAACTTGATAGCTGCGGGCTATGTGAATTCGCCATGTCAGTTGGTGGTTATCAAACCAACAGGAGAGCAAGGGTCCAGAGAGACTTGTACAGCGGGTTGGCGTTGAACATATTTGTCTTATTTGAAAGGGAGTGTTGTGGAATAGTCTATCATTGCTGGCTAGATGATGAGAGATGATTCCCTGGTCGCTGAACCCGAAGTTTCCTATCAAGAATCTCACCATCCCCCTATTAGGCTTCTTAGACGCTGCGATGGAACCTCTTTTTATTTCTAAGTGCCGTTCTCATTTATTGATTGGTGACTCTAGTCATGTTTGTGTGAATTATTTTCTCTATTCAGTACCTAGCGATTCCCCACACATAAAATACATGACACTCAAGCCAGCCGCATCTTGACTCCGATGCCCTTTGCCGATAACCCACCATTTAAGCATACGAGTTGCCCATATCATGCTCCTATTTCTCCACGTTAGCCAGAATAAAAAAAGTCTGTGTCGTTGCACATATATAGGCGCAATGAAAAAACGTACCTTGATGTATTCTGGTCCCTTTTCGCGATACTCCTCCCTCGTAATAGTAGCTGCCTTCCACGCCGGCGTCCCTGCCCAACCCGCCGCACCCTTCCATGCATCCAGCAAGGGATCCTGCGCACGACGCACTTTCAACTCCGAGTCAGCAGGCAGCAGCGCCCTCAACCCTTCGCGGACTCGCTCGTCAAAGTTCTGGAACATGGTGTTTCCGCCCGTGAGGAAGATATCCTTTAGGAGTGCGTCGCGGTCAGGCATCCCGCTCAGGCGCTGGTTCAGCATGTCCCCTGCGATTTCGATAATGCCCGCTTGGTCGACGCCTGCTATGGACGGGCGGAACACAATCTCCGGGACGCGTATGCGCTCCACGTTGAGATGGATTTGGTTGAGCTGTGCCTGGGAGGCTGGGTCAAAGGGCCGCGGGCCGCGGGCGAATGCGTGCAGGAGGGATTTGGACCAGTCGGATTGCGCCTCCTGAGTTTGCTCGTAGTCAAAATCTGGATCGTACTGGAGGAGCTCCTGCTCGAGGTTCCTGAGGTTGGTGGCGAGATCTTCCTCCTCCTGCTCGTCCTCGCTGTTGTCGCCGACGGCGATTTGGCGATACACGCCCCAGTCGTCGTCGTTGGCGCCAAAGTCGTCGTCGTCTCCGCCGCGGCGACGCTTCTTGGTGGGGTTGTCGGATGCGAGGTTGGCGATGCTCTTCATGCGGATCTGGGAGGCGAGGGATTTGCGGTTGCCTAGGTCGGCTTTGAGGCGGTCGCGCTCCTTGATCTTTTGGAGGGTCTGAAGACGAGCTTGACGCTTCTCTTCGAGCCAGTTGTCGAGATCATTTTCGCGACGTTCCTTGTCGAGACGCTCCTCCTCAGCGACTCGTGCCTTTTCAGCTTCTTTTTCGGCTTTGGCACGTGCGCGAGCTTCGTGGTTGGATTTCATGAGTCGCTGTTGGCGCTTCTGCTTGATTTGCGCCTCGTCGAGCTGGTCGTCGGGGATGTCAAGGAGGTCAAAGTTGGGCTGTTCCTGGTCTTCTTCAGGGTCACCGCCGACGTCCTTTGTGCGCGCCTTCTTGATGGACTTTTCCAGTTCCTTGATGATTTTGTCGAGTTGGTTTTCGTCCTTGATCTCGTGGCTGTCTAGCTGGCGGCGGATTTCCTTCTTGGTTTCGTCAACGAGCTTGGCTTGGAGGTTCTTGTAGTACTCGAGATCTTGTTCTTTCTTCATCAGCTTTTCCAGTCGCATCTTGGCGGCCTGTTGTTGTAACCGACGACCACTCTCCTTTTTGCGCTCTGCTATCCTAGCAAGTTCCTCCTCGGTTTTTTGAACAACAACTTCCTCCGTGTAGGGGTATTGAATGACGACGTCTCTGTCTTCTAGACCTGTCCAGTCTAGATAGTGTTTGATTTCTTCGTCGTAGTTCTTGGACACGTAGAAGTGATCTCGAATCATGTGCTCAGCCTGTGAGACGTTTAGTTTGGCGTTGAAGGCTGGGTATTTTAAGCGTATGAGTTTGAGGAGATATTCAGCGCCATGGTACCCTCCCCAGTTGAGCCTTATCGCCTGTCCGAGCATCGCTTTCGCGTTGTATACTGGGATGATGTGCGTGGAAGTGTAGGATGATGAGACCACAAGGCCCGTGTTACCCTTGTTTTGTCGGTACGAAAAGAGAGAGTCAATGCCGTACGCCAGCGATGGTGCACCGTAGCATTCGAAGATGATTTCAGTCATTGCTAGACAGCTCTTGTTAGTTGCCAAGTCCTCGTTATGGGTGCGGTGAGTTTGACAAACATTTTCTTGAATACGGCAAGTTGGCGACTGCCTCTGTCATGACGATGGGGACGTCTACCGATCCGTCGCTTGATTCGTTCAGTCCTAATTTGAGAAAAACATAGTCCAGAACGTGTTCCATGACGTCCCAGTTGCTCACGATGCCAGTGCCCGCTTCGAATGCCCCTCGAATATGGCCTCGAGCCGTAGTGTCGGCATAGCAGTCGAATCCGGCAAATGAGAAAGTCTTGCCAAGCTTGCGATCGCGATACTTGGACATTATCGGGGGTATGCTGAATCGCGGCGCCGACTCGAATGACCACCCGGCGCGAACGGCTGAAGACCCTGCGACATAGGTGTTAAACTCGACTGTGTCTTGACGGTCTGACCCGCAGATTCATCATCCATCTCACCTACCATTGTCAATCACGATGGCAGCATCGCCCTTGTGTTGCTCAAAGGCCTTCTTGTATCCATCAGCCTGAGGCTCAATGTACTTTTCGAAGCGAGTCTCTTTGACGGGGAAAATGTTGGCAGGAGGATACGCTTTCCCGTCCGGCCGCGGTTGCTTTGGGTCGTCTATCGCTGAGGGAGCCATGGCGTCTTCGTGTCGCAAAGCTTCAGTTGGAATCACCAGGTAGCTGCAGTAATCATATAGAGGGTCGGCGTTTCCGGCCGGTGTGGCGAATAGGGCGCCTGCGGTGATGGACTTGGCTTGCGTGACCGGCAATTGATGGGCAAGCAAAGGAATTCGAGTGTTGACGGCACCTCTGGGAGGTCAGAGGAACCAGAATGGCCAATGCGAGGCTACGAGGCTGATGACGGGAGAGGCTCTCTTCTTGGTGGGTCTCGCACTATCACGCCCCTGCAAGTCACTGGTTTTGGGTCGAGGGTGAGCGGCATAAAGTGTGAAGCTTTATGTGTTTTTTTACGCGCTGTTCACTATTCTATATTTTTTGGTCTATTTTGAAACCCCGATGGGTAAATTTGGGGCGAAATCAGAATTGTTAAGAAATATATTGCGTTCGCTGTCATTACATCAACTAACCTTTCACTCTGCCTGACCATTTCCAAGCCTTTATTCCTCATGCATTTGCCCATCCTATTGCTATGACGGCGGTTTGAGGTTGTCCGTAGCTGATGTACGAGTTAACACGTGTTTTCTGGACATGCAGACCGGATACTCACCTTCCAGATGAAAAAGAACATTTGATTGATAATTTTTGAACATTTGCGCCACCAACTCGACGTTCATGTTTTGAATATTGATTTCCTGGCTACCGTGTGAATTTACACGCTCTCTATTCCCCATTGCTGGTTGGGGACGTTATGTTTACCTGAAGGCTCTTGTTCATGACAATGACTGCCTCATTTAATTTTTCCTAGTTGACAATTAGCCTGGGTGGCGCATGTCGCGTACGAACGGTGAGCTGTAGTGTACCACGTTGGTCACGATGCGGGACAGCAGCAAGTTCTGCTGGTGCTCATGCGGACTTTCCTGTGTTAAAGATGAGTAAAGCCATGAACAGGAATAGATGACTATAAGAGAAGGAAATCTCACCATATTTGTAATTTCTCTCAGCGATGTTATGGACTACGCATGCACGCTGTTCCCAACAATAGATCTTAGCATGGTGGAGGTGGACAGTGACCACATTGAGATGCGGTGAGACGCGGCAGAACTGCGACAGTATGCGACTCTACAACTCAGCTTCATCACCTCTTGGACCATCCAGACCACAACCGTGATCAAGCATTTGCAATCGTCTCAAATATAGGGGTCACCCGCTTCACCCTCAGACAAGCCCGCCCAACTCAACACATCTCTCAACGCCCCTCAACATGGCTACCACCACTCCCACTGAAGCCCAAATCCAGCACCAGCAGCTTATCGAGCAGCTCGACATCCACTCCATCCACAAGGCCTTCCGAAACCAGCACTGGAAACCCAACCAGCGCCGAAACAAGAACCTCAAGGCCATTGTAGGCGATGCCTCTAGGAGAGAAGCGTCTGCTCTGGCAACCCCTCAGGAGGGAAGCGGAAATGCCACGCCTGCAAGAGACGATGGCTTGTCCACAAGCGGAACCTCTACACCCGCGACCACCAACGGCCGAGACCAGGCTCCTAATCTTGCTCAAGCATCACGGAGCCTATCAAAGCTGGTACTTGAAAAGAGTTTGAAGCTACCAGGTGCGATTGCTTCTGCGCCGACGGCGACATATACCAATATTGAATCAGCACCATCATTGGCCCATTCCAAGCACTACTGCGATGTCACGGGCCTGCCTGCGCCATATATCGACCCCAAGACCCGAATGAGATATCATAATAAAGAGATCTTCGCTTTGATTCGGTCCCTGCCACAGACCTCTGCTGAACAGTTTCTTGAGGCTCGTGGTGCACATACCGTTCTGAAGTGAGCGCTATGCTGGTGCGGACCGATATACACACTCTGGCGACAGGACGAATTTGAGTTGGGAATCCTCAGGGGAGTTCACATTTTACATCGAGGACAGGCTAGGCTAAAGGACTGTCAGATTATAAAATACAACAGGCCATCTCGATAAGACAATGTCCGACCAACAAAGTCAAGCTTCAACTATGCGTCCCCGGCCTTTCAGCCAACGATGGCAAATGACGCTCCGGCTTAATCGTGATCGAGTTTGCTCTCTGCCCGAGCTATGAAAGCCGACAAAGTACCGAGAATGCATGGAGGCGAGCAATCTCAGTTGCCGAAGCTGAAGAGCTTGGCTGTCGGGGCAATGTGTACTAGTAGGGAGACGGTTTTATAGAAAATACTTGTCAAAGACTGCCAATGTTCTAAAATCCTGTGTTGATTCTGCAGTACGTGACCTGAAACCATTGGTGCATTACCAAATTTCGTACACAAAGTCGAAAAAAGACACGTATCATTATGAACACCGGCAGGTGAGCCACGGGTGGTCAGGCTTGGAAAGTCACTTGGCTCTCCATGTGAACATGTATCCATGGAATCAGCCCAGTCACGACAGAAAAAGGTGCACAAATCCCAGGAAGCAGGGGCTTCAACTGTTGTAAATCAAGGCATCAGACAAGACGAAAGTTGACAAATTGAGTTCCAGGTCCTCCCAGCCTCGAAATTTATCTCGCCAGCAAAAAAGAACAGTGGGTCGGTCTCGTTCCCCAATCGCGCTAAACCATGTTTGTCGCACTCCTCCCTACACCTCAAGAAAGCCCGTGCCTGACTGACTCCAATAGCTGGAGACCCCGAACGCCATGCTGTCCATTCGTACCCATCAAGAAGAACCCATGCAATCTTAGAAGGGAGGGAAGGAAGAAAAAAAATCCCCTTTTCACACGAAGCCTCATTAGAGCGCTTGCCTTGAGACCACATTCTCTATCCGAAATATCCACCAAAACTGAAGTCCCTAGAAACGAACCTGGGAAAATAAACCGCCCACCATGTCGATGTGGATGTCCGACTCCCAAAGTACGCGGCTATGGAACCCCTTGGCACACGCGGCACAGCAAGCCGGCGTCGCAAAGTGCACAATTCGGCGATGAACCAGCCTGAATTCAACGTGGAAGACGGGGGCTGACAATGTCTACAGAAATTGGGGTGGTTTTCTGCTCTGGCGGTACGTGTGCGGCGCCCACTCTCGCCGGCGCAAATGCCGAGCATTCGACAGCTAACATGTTCCACAGGAGGGCTGTTCCTCATCGGAGGAGTAATGCTCTTCTTTGACCGCGCCATGTACGTACCATCTTTCCCAAGCGCTCATGATGGTAGCTAATCGGCAGCAGGCTTGCCATGGGAAATGTACAGCACCCCTCTCGCCCCCCGGGAAAGACGCAGGCCACTTGCTCTTTTTCAAAGGAGGAAGAAAGTTGAGCAAAGACTGATGTGATGTGTAGATGCTTTTCCTCATCGGCCTCACAATCATCATCGGGCCCCAAAAGACCCTCCTCTTCTTCGCTCGCAAACAAAAGGCCAAAGGCACAGCAGCGTTCTTTGCAGGTCTCATATTGATCTTGATGCGCTGGACGTTTATCGGCTTTTTGGTCGAGGCGTACGGGATAGTTATCCTATTTGGGGATTTCTTGGGCACGATTGCCGGCTTTGCGAGGGGAATACCCGTTGTTGGACCGTATATTGGCATGGTTGTCGATAGGATAGGACTGGGACGTCGAAATGCCGAGTTGCCGGTTTGAAAAGGGGACCGCAGAAAAATTAAAAGTCTGGTTCTACGACTCGATACGAATGCTTTTTTGAACATTGTCGACATGCTAGTGGCATTTTGATGAGGAAAGAAGGATCTATAATGGAGTACGTGTATGTGTTGTGGGAGTAAGGGATTTTTTTAAGACTCCGTGCTTTTTGACTTGGGATTGATTCATCTCCCAAGGTGGGAGGGACACGTGCAGGGACGGATACCGGCGTATTCGAATTCCGGGCGTAGAGTTGTGGAGGAGTCGAAGGAAATACTGTATCATATTGTATAGCAGAGGGTGGATGAGGGAATGTACCAACCAACGTTTGAAGCCGGCCTGTGGTCGCCAGCGCAAAAGCTGCTATTGGCAGATTTGCGCATTGTTCTGTTGGTCCCTCACAAATGTGATCTGGGGTGTTTCTATTATACCGGTGCTGGCGCGTAAGGGTTTCGTCGTTTATGCGAAATATGCTGTCTAGTTCCCTGGTTTCAATACCCACGAAATACACACTCGTCACAGGTCATGTTGACGAAAGCAACAACTTGTAGTAACAGACGGTCGGTTGGGTTTAATAGACACCTAATTTTCATATGTCCGTAACATCTTGCCATGTCGACTTGTTTTGTGTAGCTTCATCTCGTCATACATCTCCTTCCCACATCTAACTAGTATCCCTGACCAATAAGGTAGTCAGCCAGTCCTTCGACGGTCGAGCTAGCATTTCCAGCGACTCCAGTCTCGCCGTGGTGGCCAACAACAATAGCCTGCTTGGTCTTGGCGATAGCAACACCCAATCGACCCTATACATAGAAGCAAAGCCCAAACCATGTTAGCTTTCACGACATGGGTAAAGGTTTTTT